ACTAAGGCAAGTATTCAGAAGTTCGATCAACGGACTCCTTGTGGATACGGTTTGTTTCGTCAAAATTTCCAAATCCTTCATAATAATAAGCATAGAAAGGACAACAAATTCAGTACGATTTGCTGAAGCGATTGCATCAAGCGTTTGCAATCAGTTTTAAGCAAACAGAAAAAAGAGAGTGTAATCGACCTGTCACTCTCTCGCTTACTGCATTCTGATTGCATTGATTAGTCATTCGTTCTAGTGGTTTCAGCTCACTGATCAAGTTTCCAATTTTATGAACTATTATCTTCTTAAGTTACTATTTAGACCTACAAGCCAACACTGCATATTATAATTTTCTGCTTTCTATCTTCTTCCCCAACCCCCAACCACCTCCTTTTCTATTTTGAAAGCGTGCATAAACTGATGGCAACTTAAACTAAAACCAATTATTGTGCCTACATTTGTAGGATGCGTTGATTATAGGATGTTTTCTCTACTACCATTCAAACAGTGAAGTTCTTTTTATTGTCATTATTCAACAACACTGCGATTTCAGAGAGATTTCTGCTAATAAATACCTGTGAAGTAGAATGATGACATAATTTCATACCAATCTTTTGAATTTTAGACTGGTCATCTTCAACTTATTCTTTATTTTCAACTAGTGGTTTTGTAGGGATTGTGTTTGATTGTTTGGACGTTTTCACCCTGAGCTGACATCAGTGAGTGAGAACCATTAGAAAACCAGGCAGTACTGGACAGCTGTTTCGTTCTAGCTTCCGACTCTTCATTGCACGCACACTTTGGGATTTGTACCCAGGACCTTCAGGTTACAAGGCAAGCTAGCTCGTAGACAATTAAGCCACTGGGACCCAACCCGGCCCTTCAGTACTCACGGGTTTTCCAATGGTTATCTAACTGATGTCAGCTCATGATGAAAATCTACAAACAATTCTTCATTTATTGAGAGAAAACGATCTCTGCTTGTTGGTGTAAAATCAACAATTGTACCATGTAGATCACAATAATAACCTTTATTAAAATTGTCAATTCATCTAAGCCGGTAAAACTTAATATGATGATAAATGAACAAAATAAATATAAACGATATGTCTAGTGTTTGTTGGTAATGTATGTCTTTATGCTTCAACAGCGCATCTCCACTTCATTCTTTCCTCCAAAGTCTTATTTGTGTGGCTCCATGTCTTACCATAAGTGTCATCTGATTCTCACATGATCTCCTCCATGTCACTCTCCGATTTACACAAAACTCGTCATTTCCTATTCATTTTCCATTCGAGGGCCTAGTGTGAAGTGCCAATCAACGGTCGTCTTAGAGTTTGTCCGATGCATCTACATTTTCTTCAGCATGTTTGTTGGCCAACAGCTTCTCTGTTGATTCCTTCCCAGAGTTCCCAGTTACTTATCACTTCTGATCGGACATCTGATCATCTATATGAAGCGAAGGCTTCAGCTGGTGTCCCTTGACCCCATCAGGAATTCATTTCTTGGCGTTCAAAGTTTCTGAAATTTAAATAAAAGAAGTGACTTAACACTGAGGTTCAAAACCCGGATCTCGCTCCTTATTCCGAATACAGTAGGTTTCCACATCAATTGCCGACTAATGAATGCCAGTCTACATTTATCATCAGTTCCATTCGTCGTTGAAACGATGCTGCCTAGATAAGTGAAGGAAGTGACCTCTTTCGAACTTCTTCCATCGACAGTGATTGGTGCTTATTGTTGTCGGTTGATTATCTTTATCACCTCCAATTTCTCTATGTTAATTTGAAGTCCAGTTTTGCTGCTTCTTCTGCCAACATTTTGGTTTCCAATGGTGCATTTCTAGAAACATTGTTTAATAGCAAGGATTCACTAATGGAAGTCCATTTGCCTTGATGATTCTTCCATAGTTTTGATTCGTTGGCATTTAGTATTTGTGGCAGTTGGAAGAAAGCCTTGGTCCTAGGTATCAAGCTAGTTGGCACTCGTCACCAAAGTCTATCTGCAATCGTGAAGGAACTCAAATCCATGCTGAGATTCTAAGTGATAGTCAGCCACCTAGAATGATGGTCACATTGCAAACGTGACTGATAGAATCCAATCTGCCCCAAATAGAGGACTAGACACATGATACTAGTAACTAACTAGTATCCAGTCAATAGTTTCGGTTCACAGGAAATTATTTTTCATCACCGGATATAGTTCATATGAATTTGCATCAGAATCTGTCTTCAATGATCCCACCCGTAACCACTTCGTATTACATATTCAGGACATCTATTCCCTCGTTCATCGACCGACGATAATGAATAGAGCCTGAGAATATGAATTGTGCACTTCTGTTTATATTGAAGCGATTGTTGGCTTCAGCTTGAGTGCTTCAATCTTCATTTTACAAGTAAAAGAATTTTACCAGTTTCTAATCACTATAATTTTTGCTGTCACTACGATGAAGTTTTGAAATAGTTGTGACTATCTTTGGTTACCGTACTTAATTTTTTCTGAGTAACAATGAATTTGTCATGATCTGTTTACATAATCCAATGTAATACTTCGTTAACATGATGAAATGGATGAAACTCCCACTATAAAATATGAGGTCATCCGATATGATTTCGTTGAAAATAAGAAATCCTTACATTTTGAGTAAAAGTCCATCCGGAGCTTCACATCGGATTTTGATTGTGATAATATTCCTGATGAAGCTCAAATACGACTGTTGAGGGAAATATCATAAGTCCATAATCCAAGTGGAAACCAACAGATTAGTTGAACAGTCAGTAAATACAGACCTTCAAGTGAACACAGAGATCAGGGGTAATGAAGATAATCAACCTAAAACAGTGAACTGAACAGTATCAGTTCAACCAAAGGGCACATGGTGGATGATGGCAAGACTAAGCATGATCGAAACGAGAAAGCAAGACCTGTGTTTATTGCTTTCATATCAGTGTGGAGGTCAACAACACTCAGCACACGGGTCAGCACTCATTATCAAAAGTGACAGCATGTCATTCAATCTCCTATTACACAAAGAGTCAATTCTATCTAGTTTATTACATTCCTTCATTTAAATCCAATTAGGTCTTCACCCGCTATCGCATGAAAATATTCACTTATTTCTTACTGAAAAGCTTGAAGACGAACTTATTGGAAATATCTGTTCACTCAAATATACTTTTTTAAAAATATTTAGAGGGAATTTCGAAATTATGCAAAGTAAATATCTTTTCAAACAAGTCAGTCATACGTATATAGTTAATATATTTGTTATTCACAAAGTACGCCATGATTTGCCATGATTTGGATATATCTTGTTATAATATAACTACAACAAACAAAACCGCAGTGATCACCAATCAGAAATTTCATCATCACGAGCATGTCAATATATATAAAAGTGTGTATATTTAAATAGAAAGACATCATCGACGATTTTGATTCTCCTTATAATATTCACTGCAATGAACCTGATCATATTTCTCATCTGTTTATATCCAGTTAGTGCTGAGATTATCAAAATACCATTGCATCCAGTGACTGGAATCAGTTCAATGCTAAATCCATATCGAAAACTATTCAGGCTATTACAAAGAAGCTGGGCAAATTTACTGAATGGCGGAGCTACACCAACATCAGAACAACTGAACAATTATCAAAATGTAAGTGTGACAGGTTAAATGTCACTTTTCATACATTTGGTTTCCTTGATAAATTTTGATAAAGAATGTAGGAGAGACGAGATTCGTAGTATGAAATTATGTCATCATTCTACTTCACAGGTATTTATTAGCAGAAATCTCTCTGAAATCGCAGTGTTGTTGAATAATGACAATAAAAAGAACTTCACTGTTTGAATGGTAGTAGAGAAAACATCCTATAATCAACGCATCCTACAAATGTAGGCACAATAATTGGTTTTAGTTTAAGTTGCCATCAGTTTATGCACGCTTTCAAAATAGAAAAGGAGGTGGTTGGGGGTTGGGGAAGAAGATAGAAAGCAGAAAATTATAATATGCAGTGTTGGCTTGTAGGTCTAAATAGTAACTTAAGAAGATAATAGTTCATAAAATTGGAAACTTGATCAGTGAGCTGAAACCACTAGAACGAATGACTAATCAATGCAATCAGAATGCAGTAAGCGAGAGAGTGACAGGTCGATTACACTCTCTTTTTTCTGTTTGCTTAAAACTGATTGCAAACGCTTGATGCAATCGCTTCAGCAAATCGTACTGAATTTGTTGTCCTTTCTATGCTTATTATTATGAAGGATTTGGAAATTTTGACGAAACAAACCGTATCCACAAGGAGTCCGTTGATCGAACTTCTGAATACTTGCCTTAGTCAACGCAAACGTCTTTAGAATAATCTCTAAAAACCTTAAAGAAATCGAGTTTGGATTGGCTTACGGTTCTGAATAGCGATAGCAGCTTAGCTGCCCGAAGGATGCATTTTCACTCCCCCTTTTCTTCTCTTGTCAATCATTTGTCATACTGCTTCTCCTCTGAATGGGAGACAAATGAACACTTTCTTCTCCCAACAGTTGGATGTTTCGTTTCCTCAACCCTCCCTTTGACGTACTTTTGGATAAATCCACAAAGCAATCTAGTAAATTGGATAGTGTTCAGTGGAATGTAGACGATGAAATACTGAACATTTATAGTTAGTGTGCTTCTAAGCACCAAATGTCATATGACACTACACTTTTGAAAGATAGTGAATGTCTCACTGAATATTTATGAAGAGCAGTTACAGTCTCGTTTACCGCGTTAAACGATAGTCACTGTAACTAAAAACGTATTGGATGTAATGGTGGAGCTGTGGTACATTTTGAGTGACTGACTATTTTATGAAAAGTAATTGGATAGAACGAATTTAGCTTCTCTCACTTTATCCACGAATGACAGAACGACTCCAACTTCCTCTCAACCCCTTTCATTTCGCAAATATTTGCCTTTTTCTAATGGGCACGATGGTATTTAGTCACGTTATAATCATAATGTTCTTTTAAGATTCAGTACTACGGAGAAGTGCTTGTAGGAACTCCACCACAAACGTTTCGTGTACTCTTCGACACAGGATCAACCGACACCTGGTTTCCATCAAGAAAATGTTGGTTTCTGGACATTCCCTGTTGGTTCATTCGATTTTATGACAGTTCGAAGTCATCTACTTATCAGCGGAATGGCACAAGTTTTGAAGTCGATTATATGGACAGTACTTTCTATGGATTTTGGAGCATGGATACAATACAGGTAATGTGTTCGTATGACTCGAAGCGACAGTGATTTTAGATAAACTCTTTAGTTATTCGCAATCAGGCGTTTGCAGAAGTCACTGATATATTTTCCACCAGTTTCTTTGGCAGTGAATATGATGGAACAATTGGTATGTCATGTGAAAAGTTATCCGAATACGGGAATATTCCTGTCTTTCCAAATATACTCGCTCAAGGAGTGAAGATGGATCCAATATTTTCATTCTATTTGAACGGGTATGTATACATGTGGAATATAATTAGTTGTATGGAAGTAATTATATATTGTTATGAAAATGATTTATTTACACTTTTACCACTTATCTCACGAGAACGTGGCTGGTCCGAGAGAATATACGAGATCCAAATGAAACTGATAATTCCAACTCCATCAACATGTGATGAATCTAAGCTAACATACTTAACTAGTTCATTGCAACTGAATTTCGCTGCGCATATTCATGCAGGAATTACATTCCTAGTGCATGACTATTTATCAGATCTCAGAAACTCGAGTTCAAATGCATGGATAATCTTTCCTTGGGTGGATATTTCACTTTTATGCAAACATCCAGTTCTATTTACCATTTCACTTGACATATTGTACATACCAAGTGAAATCCAAATTTAGAAAGTTGACCAGTTCTGGTGTTCTATGGAGTGTTGAAGCCCATTTACGACCTCTCGTTTCAAAATAGTTAGTTGCCTTTTATCTCCAATGCGATGTACTGAGTTTACGCGAGGATACATTCTCGTCTGTCGTTAGTTTCCACCTGGCCTGCGAATACGGATAGAATGTTGAAGTCAAATACAAGGCGAACAATTATCAATCTTATCGGCCAATCTTTTTTGTATGTTAACTCCAATGTGTCATGAGGACAGTCCACATCACCATGATCACTTTTATTCATTGATTAATACGAATATCAATTTAGTACTCGATGCGTCCTAAATCAATTTCATTTGTACATTGCATAGGAAAGATGGTGCTGTTGTTGGTGGAGAGATGGTACTCGGTGGTGTCAACACTGAGTATTTTACCGGAGATTTTGAAGTCTTACCCGTCCTTCTCGAAAATAAATGGGCTGTTGGAATGAAAAGGTAGTTAATTAGTGTTCCGTTTAATTTGAATGAATGTGTTCTGTTGTTAATGTGCGTAAATTCTGGTAGATCGAAAGGGGATGAAGATTTCGGCAAAGAATTTCTTCAGGTGATTGCATTTTGTAGCTGTACAACCAAGTATTCAATTGGGTCTAGATGAGAAACAAGAAATCTATTCACGAGTAAGGAAACAGATCTATTCAGAGAAGAATATGTTCCTTCAACTACTATGTTATCTTTGTTTCCTTCATTTTCGCAAAGCGAAAATTTCCCCTGTTTCGCCTACTGGCGATATGCACCTGTTTCGTATGACAAACAGAAATATGAAGATTTATTTCACTCATATTGGCATAAAATGTTGATGGTAAACAATATTAATCTGGGATAGTGTAGTCTTACGAGGAGCAGTTGAAAGAACTTGTCTGCCTAAACTATGTACTCTAATTTCAGGCTAATTAACAAAGTAGTTGTCTTCTTCTAACTGATGTATGTGTGTGCTAAATACCCCACAAGCGATGGGGCATGCCATATATTACTCATAGTTGCGATGAGCAGTTTTACACAACTCATATCAATCAGCCAGTAGTGCCTGCCCGCCAGCCAGATGGAGGTGGGATGAACGACGGAAGGCTTTTTCTCTCGATTGTGAATTCGCTCATCAGGGGTACATCCGACCCGACTCAACTTAGAGAGATGAACCAGTTCAATACATCCCTTTTATGGTTAGGTACTCGGGCGAACTCGTGATACCATAAATCGAATTCACAATTTGAAAATTGCAAAGCAATTCGCAAATTTGGATTTCGATAATGTTAAGTTTCCACAGATTACTTCTGTAATGGAAATCATGAATTCGCAAAAAGTTATAACCATTAGATTAGCACAAATGAGTGGTCAATTAGGGTAATCCATGAGCATCGAATATATGGTATTGTGTTGTTGATCCATCAGCCTTAATTATTACTCTTATTGCCATTATTCCATTGGTTTCCGAGTGGCATGCAGCTTCAGAGGCATATTTACACTTAACTCTGTTCTCTGTGGTCTCATTTTTCTGGCTCTACGACTGACAATATTCTCCCCTTCTCTCTTCACGCAATTACTACCGTGTCGTCCTCAGACACACACTTAACTCGTCGCTCCAAATTCACCTTCCATTCAGTGGCCTGCCGTGTTGTGTTATGTAAAAGCGAAACATCTGCGTAGTCCAGATTTTCTGGTCTCTTTTCATAGGTAAGGCGTTTGCTTGTGTTCTCATTGGTTATCACAAATATCATCGGTGATAGTAGGCAGTCTTGTCTCACTTCTGTCTTCAATCCAGAAGCTTCTCTCAGTTCCCTGTTGTGGATCACTTGACACGCGGCATTGTCATATAGCTGCTGAATAGGGTTGACGACAGTTTGCCTTTCAAAAGACGAAGATGATTAGAGGTTAGACTATCATTCTGTGCTGTTATCGATGATCATACATAGCGCAGGAATTTTATTTGAATTTGATTTGCTTTATCTGGATTCAGCTCGTTATGGGTAGATTATGGCATGCAAACTATCTCACAGTGTTTCTGGAATGATTCGGAATTTGACAACTCAGCCCTCCTCCCAATCTATATGTAACTTCCTTCTCCAAACCTTCTGCAATTGTGGCATCGCCATAATTTCTGATGTCTGTGGATCTGTTCTCAGTGCTACTGTGCGCTCCTGCAGCCTTATCTACTGGCTGTTAGAAGCTTTAATTTACTCAATGCTTCTGATTTCACTGGAAGACTGGTGTTCACCACGAATGATGCTGCTTTGGATGGTAACTATCGACGCGTTGCAAGTGACGGCCAACTCGATAGCCCTCTGAATGTGACTGGCTCACAGTATCCTTAAATTCTTCTTTTTAACGATCAAGTTGCCCACATTAACTTCCATTGGTTTCATCTGTGTTGGTAGCTACCTTGGTAGCCAGGCTCCTTCCTATCTGATATATTTATCTCAGACCCATATTTATAATAACCAGTGTTTCAATAGGTATCTAGAATGATAATTGATCACAATTATCAATATTATCACCACTAACATTAGGTTTTCAAATCACAGAGAAGGCAAAACTACTATTGTTATGATCAATAGTGTTATAACTATGATAGTAGTATCAATGTTGAATGAGGATATCTAATTGATATGTGGATAGCATTTCAATTATTGTTCTGGTTATTGTTATCAGTAACGGTTCAACCAAAGTAAAGGTGTTTTGTTGGTGATACAGAATAACTGAATGCAATGAAAAGAAAAATATGCCTTAATGCTTGAGCGAGAAGGAATTAATGAAGTGGACTTCATACTAATAGTCTGACCGATATTTGTGATAGAATTCAATCACTAAATTCAAATGTTTGCAAACACCTTCAGCTTCAGGATAAATGGAGTGGACTACTGCAATACAAGATGTATTAGTCTGATAGATACCGGGACATCCTTGATACTGGGATCCAACGAAGTGGTGGATGAGATTAATTCCAGACTTGGCGCCACGGAGAGTGGCGATGGAGAGTACGTATTCGACTGCAGTAATATTGACAAGCTCCCTCCAATTGAGATTGTCTTCACGAGAAGGAAATATGTGCTTGAGGCGAAGGATTACATAGTCAAGGTAAGCACGAGTATCCAGTTCAATTTTGTGGTGTTTTGTGAATGTGACACGCAAGTGCAAACTCTTACTCCATGTATGAGAATCCAACGCATTTAAAATCCTCAGAAGTGCAGTGACTTTTGTTGTTTGCAGTAACGTATGAATGCGAATTCCTCATAGTCCATTCAGTTTTATTCTGATGTGATTTTGTGCTGATTGAGTCCTAGTCATTCGCTACAATTTTTCTACATTGGGCTGACAACGTCGATTGATGGCTTCTCAGCACTAGTAATAACCGCTTTTGAAATGATATGTTCACTCACTCGTTATCATAGTCTCCGATTTACTGACTGCCTGCACGGATATTGACTGTGCTTATTCAACCCACATTATAGACAGTAGATCCGTGTTGTATGGGAGATGAACAGCTTTCTTCGCAATGTTTATGCATGATAAAATGGAAATTATCTAAAGTAGCATATTCGCTTCTTCACTCCATTTTCGGACTTAATCCTATTCTGGATTGCTTTTCTGTCCAACAACATCAAACATGATCTTCTATTGATATTGCTGCAACATAAGGTCACTAAGCATGCTTCCGCCATCAGGACCACTAGAACGTGTGGTCTTGACTTTGAATGTGCCAATAGGTTCACACTAACGCAGTCATTTATTTCATCTATCTGTGCCGATTGTAAATTACCACAGTTTTCAACCTCTTATCAACTCCAGCTTCATCTATATGATGTACGGTCAAACAATCTTGACCAGGTGTTAGGTCTTCGATTATTCTTCACAATTGCATACAAATGTTCCACTCCCATTCTGACGCTGTTTGTATGTATGTAATCATCCAATTCAATTGACATATTTCTGTTAAACTTGAAGTATTAAAATACAGCTAATATCTTTGGCTGTGTCGATGTAACTGATAATTCCGTAGTTTCTAAAACGATTTAATTAATTGACGAGGTAGATTCAGCTTGTGATACATTGAATCTGATTTTTCATTTCATGATTTCGAAGTGGAAACAGTGCATACAAGATATTTTATTTTTCGGTTTCAGGATTCCAACCTGTTCTTCACACAATGCGTGTCACCCATCGCGAGTAATGACAACATACATCCAGGATTTTGGGTTCTTGGCGATGTATTCATGAAGAAGTTTTACACCGTATTCGATTTCGGTGAGAGGAAGATACGATTGGCTGATGTTAACGATGGATGAGGCTTGTTGTGCCGAAATCAGCCACTGCAGTTTGCAAAGTAATTTGAGGACTTCTTATTTGCACAAATGATTTCTCCTTCAAGATATTTTAGAAACTGGAAAAATGTGGTAAATATATCTTTCAACCTAGTCTTTGATATGTGACATTGTAATGACTGTGAGGAGTAGCCTCGTTTAACTGCTTTGAATATTTGAAATCTAACTTTACACAAAGACCACTTCATGATAGAAATGAACATTGATTATTCTAGAATGATGATTGCAGTAATTAAGCCATTTAGTTGTTTAAATCAATTGCTGAGTATTTAGTTTGCTTATCGATAATTTACGAAGTTATAAATGGTATGCACTGAAACCTGCTAAAGTCATTCCACTTTGGATGACTATTTTAACATATTAGAAGTGATCAACAGCATGCACAGTTCGGTCTTCGATGAGCGAAACGCAGGATTCCGTTGAGGTAATTCAAAGTACATGTCATGCTGGTTGCGATTTCATGAGCTTCACTAGTCTTGGTGTTCATGACATTCGAATGCAGTTCAAGCTGCTTCCTTATTCACTGCATCGGACAAATTTCGAGACATTAGAAAGTACTCTGAGTATTCCCATTTATGCTGTTTCAATGTTCCTTTTGTTTTCCAACAAAAACATTTGCTCATAGTTTGAACAGAATACGACACATCGAATGCACTAGACGACATCATCTGCGATATCTGCTAAGCATTTCGCTTTGTCGGGAGTCACTTTGCTTCCACATGCCATGTTTGCTTTCGTATTGTTCAACTGTGATAAATAACTGGAGTTGGATTTCACTTCCTCCTGGGACACATATATGATATCTTCACATGGAGATCAGGCTGGAATGAGAAGTTTGAGAAGTAGTTTCCTGCAGATGTTTGCATTCTGCCATGGTGGTCGAGTAGAAGTTAGTTACTGAGATTATTATCGCCGCCTGGATTTGAAATGATTCTGCAATCGGGTTAAGAGCCAATCGCAGCAAGGCGTTTCCCTCAACTAATGAGAAATGAGATGCAATTGGCGGCGCTTTCAAAACAGCCGATATAAAAGATTGGGAGACATACCGTCATCATCTCTAGTGTCTGTATTCAGTGGTAGAGTCCACTAAATGGCGAGTATTTCCCTGATTCTGTCACAAAGGAACGGTGTACTATCAACTTTATGTATCTGTCTCCTGTACTCTGAATCCAAGCAACACTAGTGATGTTTCTCCCTCAAGAACCAGATGAATAAATGAATGCTTGTGTCATGGGAAGTCACAAGATTGCAGCCATTCACACATTTTCATAATCACACAGTCTTGCTCATTCATCATCCGTCTTCATCTCCATGATTTCCTTCCAGATTTGACATTATTGTTCAGATTTGTGATCCTCTCATCTTGAAACTGTGATCATAGCAGGCACAGTGAGACAGGGAAACATAGATCTGAGTCTCATGAATTCACTATTCACAGCTGATAATAAAAGCGATGGGGTCTGAACATTATCCCGAATAGGCAAATAAGTCTCACACATCAAAATTCTGGTATTTCAGACACTGAGACATCCGCCTAACATAATAACAATAACGGCTTCATTGAGTGCAAAATGTTCACACAATATTCAGAATATGTAGCATAGTCTATCGCGTAATGTTTCCTCTTCATACAACATCTTCCAGCAAAATAGCAATCTAAGGTTACAGCATGTGACACAGTGCTGGTCGATCTGAAGAATGAAATAATCCCTCATGGTATTTTGTCCTCGTCACCGAAAGATACTTAGGAGTAGATTGGAAGCCAATTATAATTGTGCGTGAATGCATTCGGAAGCTCAGGGACATAATTGAATGGTTGAATTAAGGAGAAATATAGAAAATTGTATGCATTGTGTGGGATGAAAGTTCAGGTAGTTCAGCAATTCAAGCAGGTCGCTGTTCACACATTCAAATAAATCCTAATTTGCTAACATGCTAAATCTGTAAGATTTACTCCACTGATTTCAAAAGATTATTTGAATAGTCCCTGTACATTGTTGGTGTAATGGTGCTATCCATCTCTGCAGTAAAGTATGCGAGGATGACGAAACATCTTGCAAATCACTGATGCATTTCTGAAATACACCAATTCGAAATCATTGATTGTAGTTCGGGAGATGTAAAAGATTAGATCTTTCGAGAGATGTATAAATTATTTCTCAGAAACACACCAAATGTGGTCTATTTGCGTCTAAGTACATCTTTCAACCAGGGTTGATATGCTTAACATGAATGCATATCGCGGATATCTTCAGTTTCCCACGAAGTAAATCAATTAGTGACTATCTCTCACAGTCAGATTCAGCTAAACATTGTGTCTGGCTGGCATCAATTTAGAGCATAACCAGAGGTGAAGGCATCACCTGGCGACCTGATAACTACTGTGATAGCGTCAATGGATGTCCTATGTAGCCATTGTTGTTATTATTTATCGAATTATTAGTCATAGAAGCACTGACTACGGTAACCAGGAGAACTTGCATTTCTCTAAATTACACAGATAATATAACCTGTTTGAATTAGCATGCAAACAAATGCAGTCTTCTAGACACACTGAGTGCAAATATGAGAACTCTTGTTACGTAGTTCACTGCATTTAAGTGTAAAGTGGTGGCACACGGAAGAGTAGAAATTGGATTCACCAAACGTTTGTAGGTATGACACTCTTTTCTGTTTCTTTTTAATTCCCTATACACTTACGAATACAAATCTCGGACAATTGGCCCCATGTATAAGTCACTACTAGGAAAAGTATGTATGTTGGCGCATCACTTGAACAACGAATATAAATCCCCCGTATGATGTCAGCATTCGTCAGAAAACCATGTTACTGCAGTGGACAATTTCGATAATGAAATATGGATGACCAGAAACAAAGATAGGTGACCTGGAAACATTCTGAAGTTGTTATGACGACGGTGGTTGAAGGAAACGGTGCCAAATAACCACTTCATCAAACCGTATCACCAGTGAGATGTACCTACTGATTGACTGGCATTGAAACTAGAGAATTCGAAGAGAAATAGTAATCTCAATTAGATTGTTTTTCATTAATTTATACTGTTGAGCTGTAATTCTGTTACCCACAGTGGCATCAGAACAATTTCAGTATCAACATGGATATTATTATCATTCCCTAAATGATTAACCTGAAAAGAAGGCGTATTAGAATTTCAGTGATTTTTTTTCATCTCATCTGCTGAAAGTATATTTTTCATTCAAAACTCTGTGTTTATCCCTAACACATTCCTATTGTGAGCAATACTCCCCCTCAGGCAGTCATCCTTCAGTAATCATTTCTAAACACTCTTTGTCGATAGGAGTCAATCTTAGGAATGCCTAAAACTATGCAAAACATGTTTCACGAATTCCTAACTTTTCTTGTGATATAAAGTTGAAAAATATTTTCAGCTGAGTGCCATTAATGTATGACATCCATTAGTGCTGAACCACGTCCACTTCGAAAAACTGTGAAATGGTTATCTACTATAATGAGTCTTCGCTGATTATATGATTAGTGTGAATTCTCATACACCATACACTTATCAGCATTATTACCTCATATTATTATTATTTCGCTCAGTCTTTCGACAGTACATTTTCATGTAAATGAAACGACACACAGTTGTGATAACAAATTGTACGATGTGACTTACAAACACACCACATTTTTCAACATGAACTTCGCCTTCTAGTAACGCGATTCTAATTTAATAAACAGAATTATCGTTTTAGCGTGTTATCTGTTAATGTGGT